ATTATTGAAGCGAAACATATCATCGCAACGAAAGGCACGGATTGTCGTCATTATGGCCTCAATTGGTCCACAACTCCTCTCCTCTTAAGTTTTGTCACAAAACGTCTGTTTAATAATTATTTCAATTGATTTCAATTGATTTCAATTGAATTGACAGTTAATTATTGACTAATCGTTAATTATTATAGTCATAAAAACATTGTTTACAAATTGTAAACACTCAATGCTATGACATTTGGCTATTTAAATATCATTTGGGCCTTTTATAGACTATTATTTTGACCTTAATTGCATTGTTAATTATACAATATAAAAGTACTAAATTGTGCACCTTAAAATAAAGTTTTAAAGTTTTTAATGATGGACTTTTAAATTGTGAGTTGGAAATGGATTTAATAAATATATGAAAACATTTCAAAAGTCAATCAATTGCATAGAAATGATGGCTTATGTGCGACAGTCAGTAGTATTGAGTTGTATTGAGTGGTTATGCAATAACTCCGAGACGAGTGCCAATGTGTGGCAAGTGTTGGAAGTGATGGTGAGATGTCGTGCGTGTAGTCATAGGGAAAGAGTGTGAGTGAGTGTGGCGTCAATTGAGTCGATCATCAGTTGATAGGATTTGTGTTCATAAAAGCAGTGAAAGTATTATTTGCTGTCAAACTAAAGGTAAGATTCATTTGATTATCCTATGCTATCGTTTGCAATCCTCAGCCAATTAGTGGCATCGCAAGCGTTGGAGTTCAATCATCACCTAGTCAATCATCACCTAATCACCGCCAGACACCACACCCACGATTGGTTACCTGTGTAAATCAGTATAAACCAGTGTTATACGGACAGACATACAGACAGACATACGGAACGGCTCAATCTCCTCCCTATCCCTCTATCCCTCTATCCATACAATACTCACTATTATATCATTCATACAATTGATTCACTCGTTCACCACATCTTCACACCTGAGATGTGCTGCTGAGGGCCACCCAAACCACACACAAACACACCATTCATTTCACACTATCTTCTCATCAAATGACTAAACAGTTTTGCAAAAGATTTTTAACATTTATTTTGAACTATAAATCAAATGATTTCTCGCATTTCAGTCATAAATTGTTTTCAAAAGCTATGATCTTTTGGAAAAAGTGAAGCTTTTATGAGTAGTGTATTAAATGCAACAAATGTTTGAATTGATTGCAAATCTATTTTCTATTTGTTTGATGAGTTGTTGGTACTTAACTTACAGATAAACTCTCGACTACACTTTCGTTTGTGTCTAAATCGTGAATAAATCTCGTGTAGAAACCCAGTAGTGATGTTCGGTATGTTAGGGATATATACACGGATATAATGATCATTATTTATATGCACTTTTGCTGCTAATTCACACACTTATTAACGCAAGGATCATTACAATAGATATCCGTTTATTCATCCGACTATTCTTTTATCATTTATCATGAATGATCAAGTAGCATTTTACATTTATTTGTGCATGTATCATATTTGAATTATTCTATGAAATGAATGATAGTGAGTGAATTTTAATATTTGTTTTTCCTATATTTGATATAATGATACAGTTTAAGATTTAAGTTTATTCAAAACGTTATTGTGTATTGAGTTTTAATTGGTATCTGTATTGCCCTGTAATAAATTATTTGAGACCATTTATCAAAATTTACATAAAGTATTGAACATTTTAAATCATGAACTCTAAAATAACGATAATTTTAAAAAGAGATATATACAATTAAATTAACTTATTTTGTTGAATAATTTGTTTATTCACTGATTTGCACTTTAATTTATTTTTATAAAATAAAGAATAAATAGATTTTCAATATATTAGAGTAATACTACACTTTGAATATACATTATTAGTGACTATATGCTACAAATGATCATCATTGACATCAAATTTGATAGAATCTCATAAAATCTGTATTCAATGGTGTTCTCCATTGAAACAAAACCGCCAATTCCTAACAATTGTACTTTATAGTATTTTTATGTGATATTTTCTTTTTACATGTTAGTGCTTTTTTCTTGAACACTCAACTCATTGAATACAAATGAATTGCTAATTAATGCAATATTTTAGAAGTTGTTTATTATAATCAGAATATATTCTGGAATAAAAAGTATGTTTACAGTTATAGTGTGAATACTGTACTGTAGATGAGCTCTATATTCATTACATTCTACACTCAAATCTTACTTGAAGTGAGATATTTGACAATTAATTGCTAAAAATATTTTTAAAAACAGTTATCATACTGTTTATAATACAGCCATAAAGTATTGTGGGTTAGTTTTCTCTGTTGATTCTTAGTCTTAATATGGGGTTTGACTAAATTTGTAGATTATATGAGTCCATATAATTAGAGTCCGGATCTAGTTTTATGATTCTCCAATTATAAACTCAAAAGTATTTGTATTTTCCTCAGAATATATTTTCCATGTTTTGTGCGTTTATTGCATTCAATTATGTTATAAAAGTTAGTAAACATAGTAACAGTCCTTAAATGAGTTTTAAAATTAAAAACAAAATGCATCTGTCGTTGAGATCTGGTATATATTTTTAAATGACTTGTTTTGGCTCTTATTTAGAGAGCATTTGCAAAAGTAATTGGGATTCCATCCTATGGTTGCATTCAAATTGAAATGGAAGCAAAATAATATGATTTCATGCAGTCTTCCAAATGAGACCACATTTTCAATATCTACTACATATAGCTAATGCAAAAAGCAGTTGTTATTTTGCAATAAATGGCTCATCGCTGAAATCAATTGATTAAATTTGTTTTCAAATGAATATTTTTGCATATTTTGATTCATTGTCCAAAATTGACACAAAAGCTATGTTATACTGTAGTATATTCTGTATAATAAATAATTACATATTTATTTTATCCCTGTTATCATACTTAAAAACTTAACTGCAAGAATTATAAATGACCAGGGTAATGTAATAAATTCGGTATATAATGTGAACAATTAAATTAGCCTTGAGAGAAGATTGCATATAATTTATATTGAATATAGACCAAGGTAGAATCATTCTGAACATTGAAATATAAACTTTTACTTGAATTCTTCTAACAAGTAATGAAGTAAGTTAGAATTAAGTACTGTATATGATAATTGTGTTAATTTTACATTAATTATGTTTATAATGATTGTATAATATAATAACGTGATACTTTTTAATTAACTATACTAATGAAAAGAATTTAATAATAAATTGTCAACAAATTACAATTCAATTAACAGATTCCTAACTGTATTTAATGAAACTTTTTTATGACTTTACTTGATTTTGTTGGTTTATGTTATGAGCACAGAATTTGGTAGCAATTAAAATGTAAAATGAATTGAATAATAGTAGTGAAAAGGTGTGTTATTAAGTTAGCAGCAAAATTGTCGTATGAATAGTGTGTTTGAGTGGAAATGGGTTGCAAAACAGGCTGTGCTCTCAGGTCTTTGAACCGCTCACCACCACATCACTCGACCGTTTAATACACAACCAAAACTTGCTTTTATTGTTTATCATCTGTTCTCTGCTTTCTATGCTATCTATGCTTTGCTATTCCCTCGTAAGACTGACTCTCTATACAGTGTATCTCAGGTATAGTCAACTCCAATGCATGTCTTCATGGGAACGGTATTCCGAGTTATATTTGTGTTAATATGCTTTCGATGAATTGGTTCTCATTATAGCTGACAGTTTATTTGAAAACTTGTACAATTTACTAATGACAAGCAGTTGAAAATGACTTATAAACTGAATTATGAATAAGTGATAAGTTATATAACAGATGATTGTTATATAAAATGTTTGTTCCTTATAAACAGGGATACACTGTATTCACGCAATTAATACTGTGTTCTGCAGTCGAGTTCATCCGAAACTCGTCCTCACGAGTCAGCCCTCAGCGCCAATAGACGAGGCAAAGCACCAGTAGTTTGAGTGCCAACGCAATCGATTCAAGTATTTTATGACTATTTCATGTCTATTAAAGGCTTAACGAGAAGTTTATTTTGCTATCAATTAATTCATTGATTTGTGTTTGTGTTTGAAAGTTGTTGACAAGAAGTGTCATATTGTTTGACAAGTTGTTGTGCTTATGATTTGTTAGATTTTTGCCACTTTTTTGCCACTTTTTGTATATATTGTTGTCTGAGAGCGTCAATTGCAATACCTATTCAATGGCTGTTTTCTATTCCAGTGTATTATTAGGCGATTTAGTGCCACAACTGCTACTAATAGTGTACCAGAAGTGGGATAAAGCCATAGAAGGCATTGCATAATAATGATCAACAAAAAGACGACAAAACATAAGAATCAAAAGAAAGTCAATTCAGTGATCGTCGAGAAGAATAAGAAGTTGAGTACAAGAGGCAGAAGACGCTCTAAAAACGAGTCATCGATTTCCGGTACAAAACAGTCAAAAATTGATACAAAAAAAGAGTCAAATCATAAGAAAGCAAAGGATAAGAAATCTGATAAATCGAGTGCTAATGTTAGGAGTTTGCGGTTATCAGACAAAAATGATACACACAATGGTTACAATAGTAAGTCTAATAAGTCATCAAAAGTTACAAATATTAAAGAAATTGTGAAAAAAGTGAAAAACAAAGCTAACAAAACCTGTAATGATATTAAAGAAGTAGTCAAAAGGGAACTGAGAAATAATTGTAAAATTAGTTTCGATTTCGAAAAGCAAGAAATTAAAATGAAAAATAATGCCAAAAGCACTTCAGATAGAAATACAAACGCCAAACAAAAAAGCGATACAATTGTGTGGAATCACGACAACGAAAAGTTGAATCCAAAAAACTCATCGAAATATAACTCCAAATCTAATTTATGTTCAAAACTCTTCCCAACACTGAATTGTGTTAAATCGACAAATGGTAGCAAAACTTGTAATAAATTAGAAAAGCAGCAAAATTTGGACTCAAAAATTAATGGTAAAACAAATTTAAAGATTGAAAACAAACCATTGATTGTTACGAAAGAAAAGTTGACTAAAAAATCGACGAATAATAAGAAGAAAACTAAACCAAAGACAAAGTCAAACAACAAAATACGGAAATCCTTTAATATAAAAAAGAAATCAAATTCTAGTTCTAAACAAATGAAGAAAACTGTGAAAAAAGAGACTAAAAAACCGAAAAAAACTATTAAAAATAAAAAGACTAAATTAAAGAAAGAGTCGAAAACGGGTAAGAGTTTAGAAAAGGAGGGGAAAGGTATGAGAAATAATCCGATTGTGAGAAGAGGACATCGAGTGGCGAGTCTTAACGCGATCGCAAAAGTGAGACTTTTGTGCGAAAATGAGTTCGAAAGACATGATGTGAGTGAAGAGGACTCCTTCACTGCACTAAAGTCCAAACCTGAGTGCAAATCTGATAAGAAGTGCAAAAATGAGGTGAAAGTGAAAAAGGAGAATAAGTGCCGCGCATTGGTTCCGGTGGACAACTCCAGCAAACAATTGGCGGTTAGAAAGCGTAAGAATATAGACAATGCTATTGAGATCATAGACACGCGTTCGTGCAAACGGATGGCGAGTCTGAACGCATCGGCTATAATGGCCGCCAGTTATTCACCCGAAAGGTTTAGGAGAAGCAAATCCATTGAATCCATTCACAGCAACAGTTCCGTTGAGATGATCCGCGAAATGCAAACAATCAGCCAAACAGTGTCTCACATTGAGATCAGTCCCGGAGTGAACGGCATAAACGGCGTTCATGTGAACCAAAATAACGTTATTTTTAAGTCACAAAAACACGAAACCATTAAAACTGTGAAACAATTGAAAGTAAGCAATAAAATCAAAGATAGACTCTTAGGAATCGCCAAACTTGAGAGACAAGAGGAAAGGGCTAAACACAGGAGGAAAGGCTCCAAAAATGAAACCAATGCTGACGACAATCTCTCGATTGGAAGCGATGAGCAAAGTTTGGTTTCTGGCGCCGGTGTGTCTGAATTCCAGGCGACCAAAGTCCAGGTGACGAAAGTAACTCATATTAACACATCTCAGGGCAAAGATAAGAAGAAATCTGGTCATCAAATTGATTCCATACTTGAAAGAGACTCAGCGGTTGTCCACAAATATCAGGTGCAGACAAAGTCGACAATCGAAATGCAAACAACTTTTAACTCAACCAACGGCTCGTCCATCGCTAACGTAACCACTATTACAGCGCCTCAACAAACGCCTACCACTGGAAGTGTGCCGCGAATGCACGTCCATCTGAGTGGTGCCCCCACACAGCCGTTTGCACCGCCAATGTTGCCGTCGACCAACTCAGGACATCCCACTCCCACGTACTTCAACTTTGCCGGCGCCGCACCTGTGCTTCAGGTTCACAATAACCAATACCAGGCCATCTCCTCAGCGCCCACCATAAACCAGATGCCAATAATCAATTTGTCTGAGCCCTACCCCACACACTATAGCAGTGCCTTTACGGTGCCTCACTTCGCAACTCACACACACCCGGCCGCCCC